CAGAGGCGGCCTCTTTGTGACAGTAGCGGCACTGGAAATGGGGAAGGTTTTCCTGGCCCCCCGAAATAACAGACATGGGGCAAGAAGCAGCTTTTCTGAAAATGCAGTGGTAGGAAATGGCGATTTCTTTTGTCACCTGCTTATAGAGGAGGTCTTCAAAAAACCTCCCTACTACAGAGTTAAAAGGTTTGTAAGAAAAGCAGTACATTTTAGGGGATTATGTGAAATTGGTTTAAAACTAACTTCACGGTAGTTTTAAATGCTATTAAACTGCTAAACATATTTTTACGACAAATTGTGCCTGACAAGGGGAAGACGGATGTTATTGGAAGTCTTAGTGTGTATTTCATTTGAATATTTCTCCATTAGATCAGTTTTAAATGCCTGCACATTTAAGAACACGTACTAGAACTTAGGCTAGTGATAGTGCCTCTATACTTTGACTTATCCTGGCTAATTATACTTGTTAAGTTTCCCAGCAGTCACAGAACTTGGAGGTGTCTAAAGCGTACTGGTAAATCTTTTCACTTCAGCACGTTTTTCAACTGGGCCCTTTTGGAACTCAAAGATTCTTCCCCATGTGCAAGTTTTGGATGTCTTTTTTTATTTTTCCTCTTCATTTATTAGCCACTGTATGTGTTGGGTGTTTTTTTAATACAAATTCTACAAAATGCATGCATTTAATATTTAATTTCAGTATTTTGAAACTTGCTGAACAGATTTTCCTTGGCTTACTGATCTTGCATTAAGAAAACATGTAAGGGAATATTTACATCAAAATATATTAAAGAAATTTTCAAATGTGTCAATATGTCAGAGGTGATTTTATATGCTTCTCTGTTGGCATGTACATAGCAGAGTGAGGCCACCTGTTTTTATTCAGTTTTAAAAGAACTCTTTAGGTACAGTGGTAATCAAAGTGTTACAATTCACTCCCACTGGATGACTTTAGGCAGGTATTTTTAGTGTATGTCATTCTGATACTGTCAGCTGGCTTCTCCGTAATTTGAAATGTTTGACAAAACACTTTAGTTTTGGGAAAGTCATGTACTTATTGAGGGTAGGGAGAAGCAAAATTAAAACTTCACCTGTTTGAAAAGTTGAAAAAAAGACTTGAAGAAAATTCAAAATAAGTAAACTTAGTTGCAGTAGAGCTCGTCTGGCAGGGAGTGTAACAACTTTGTTGCTTTTTGTTATTACTTTTTTCTGTAAAGTGTTAAATAATAGCTTCTCAAGCTTCTGAAGAAAAAGGGGGGTGGGGAATGTAATGGGTTGCAGTTATTGAACCTTAGAATAAAAGTTTTATTATGGAAGTCTTGGCATCAAATTCCCTGTTATTTGACTGTTAGCATCTATTTGACAAAAAACTGCCTGTTTTCTGATAAGCTTTCTGTGGCGTTTAGTTGCAAACCAAAAAATTGTAAAGGTTAAGACCTATATTATAGTAAAAGCTATATGTTTGCCAATTTCTGTTGCTACTTTACATCTTACATGCAGAAAAAATTTGTAAAAATGTCAGAAAATTCCATGCAGTTAGTTCTGCTGTTTATAGTTCCAGTATGTGGAAAGTTCCCAGAAACTAACTGATTTTTTTGGTGTTAATAAAAAGAAGAGATTTGAGAGTAAGTAAGAGCAAGTAAGCTATCAAAGTTCATGCTACAAAAAATTCCACCTGTTGTTAAAAATTAAGAAAAGTTAGGGGAAAAAGAAAGGGAAAAAGACAATTAAATGATGTATTTGCAGTATGCCAGTTAAAGCAAGACGTCATGACAGCACCGAAACATTTAGCTGTCACCATGAGAAACATGGAAGACCTCAGACCTATACCCCAAAAAACCCACATTCCACAACTTAGCAGCAAGTAAGGAAAGCATTTACAGTAGCAGCAAGAGATAAGCTGTACAAACTGAATGTAGAGGGCATAGCAGGATTACACAGAAGACTTTGTTTAGCGAGGTGTCATGTAAGGAAAAGTGTACTGAGTTTTTCAGAGAAGAGCTGGCTATTTGGCACTTATTAAAAAACTAAAACCAACCTCTCACTCCCTTTCCCCTGTTCCAAAGAGCATGAAAGAAAAGTGTGTAAACTCTGTTTCTGTTCCACCAGTGACTTCGCAGGACAATAAACTTGGAACTGTTCGAGTCCATCTAAGCTACAGAACAACAAAACTAGCATCTCTTTTGGTTGATGTCAGATAATACAGCACTGCTGGGAACCTTATTTTGACTTCCCTGGATGTAAAATCGTACCATTGGTCCATGTGTGAAGGTAGCAAAGGTATTGTGAAGGATCAGTAACAGAATGTCCTCACACGGGGTTATGTTGTGCAAACTAAAAAATCAGTCTTTAAAACTTATTTAGTTGAAGGAATCATTTCAAGATCTTTTGATTTCAAATGGTTCAGTTGACAAGCATTGCAAACAAAACCCAAATTGATAGATGTTATAAAAAACAATTGTTGTTATAAAAATTAAATAAATAAATGGTCGCGATTTAGGACCTTTAGGAGAGAAGAACTATATGGAAATCATCTAGTCTTCTACATCACCGTGACTTTCTAATGGCTAGTGCAACTGTTACGGAAGTTTTGTGTTCTGTTTCCAGCTTTGCCCTTCTCTAGCTGCAAGACTCTTCTTGGTTTTAGTTTCCATTTGCCACTTTTAGTTGCTAATTTGTAAATGCTTTACAAAGTGTTCAACTCTTACCACAGGATGAGAGTGAAGACCCAGCTAAATGAAATGTTAGTTTGGATTTTAAATACCATCAAATACCATCAGAACTTAAATAGACTTTTAGAAGGATATCTAGGTAACAGAAGGAATACAGTGTTTACATTATACCATATTTAACATTTTGTTATTTTTATCTGTGGCAGCATAATACAAGATGTAGCTTGGAAGTACTTAGTTCAGCGGTAGTATCCTAAGTAATAGCAGAAATCATGGAATGTCTCTCAGGAAATTGAATCCTCCTGGGAAATTTGGCCAAAGAGAACATACACTTGCATCTCATAGTTTTATGTACAAGAAATTGAAAGGATTTTGCTTGGACTGAAAGGACCTCTGATGAATGACTTTAAAAATTGGAGTTACTTAGGTATTCAGAGACTTTCTACACTTTATCCCAACAAAATGTATTAAAAAGAAACTTTGAATAGTCACGTGTAATATGGTCAATTGAATATATACTTGTCAGGCTTATCTTCTTTTACAGAATTCTGTTTAACAGCAATCATTAACTACAATCATGGCAACTGCCAGTAGTGAGGTGCACCATCCTGTAGATCCTGGAATCCCGAAGTTGCAGTTTGCTCCCTTTAGTAGTGCCTTGGATGCAGGATTTTGGCACGAACTAACCCAGAAGAAACTCAATGAGTACCGATTGGATGAGACCCCAAAAGTTATCAAAGGATACTACTACAATGGTAGGTAGAAACTGAACGTCTTTCGTAACAGTTTCGATTTCTCTTATCGCTGCTCTCTGTAGTTGTGCTTTAGGCATTTTGCAGAAACATCAGAAAACGTGGCTAGGTGAGCTGTGAATCCGGGTATGTCTGTGGGTAATTTTATAGCTTACGATAACAAAAAGAGGGAAATTAATCTATGTATTTCGGTTTAAAAGAGGCATGTTACTACTTTTTGTCCAGGTGATCCTTTGGGTTTGCCAGCTCGCCTGACATTGGAGTTTAGTGCCTTTGATATGTAAGTACGTACTGTGGTTTACCTTAATTTGTATGTGAAGAGACTTTCTTTTCGTAACAGTAGCACTTTGATATCATATATTGCTTGGACAAATTCCGCTTGAAAATAAATACACATTTTCATGAACTTTGTAACAGTGGAGAAGCTGCTTTGAGTGGCAAACATTAAATCCCCGTGTCTGAAGTAGGTAGTGTATTCATTGAGGGGCCAAGTTTAAAATGTACTGGTAAGTCTCGTATTAACTCACTGTTTGTATATGCTTTCATATAAAATACCATATGTTTCCATTTCTTCAGGTCTTCTGAAAAAAGGAGGATTTTTTCAGTCATTTAACTTCTGGTAAAATTTTTTCTTAGAACTTTATCTATTGAGGATTCATCATTACTATTAGGATCTCAAAATATTTTTTACAATCCCTATTTGTTACATTGTAAAATCTTCCAAAGTATTTAACCTTTACAACTGGAATTTTGTCCTTTTGCCTTTACCTGCAAAGTGAAAGGTGAACCAAAGTTCCTCAGTGTACACAGCAAAAATTAGTTGAGCGGGGAAATATTTTTCTCCGCATGTTTTTCATTTCCAGTAAATGCCTAAGTTAGTACAACTGACATAGGAACATATGTCTTTGTAGTTATTCTCTTACGTGTTTTAAATTGGTGGATTATTAAGTTGTACAGCAATAACTTTTTCTGCCTTGCTTGGTCAGGATGTTAGGAGCGTAGTGAGGCTTTGTGCCTTCTGAGATAATTTCTTAGGAGATGTTATTCCATTCATTCTTACATTAGAATTTTTAGATATGACACTGAAAGCATTATGCAGCAAAATGGAAGGAGGCTCTGGTATTGGGAACAGAATTTCAGATTAGGACAAAATGGGTGATACAATGTCATTTGAGCTCTCAAATGTTATCATAAAAATAAAGCCATAAAAGGTCTGTGTATGTAGTGTTTAATTATTCTTTCTGCTATAGTAATTTTCTGTACTTCTATTTCTGTAGTTTAAAAAGTCAGTTTAGATGATCCTGAGGAATTCCCTTTTAGCTTTAAAAATTTTTGGAAGCCTCATCATGTGTGTTTATTATGTAACTTAAACATTTGCTGTATTTTAATTTTAGCAGAGGTCAGAAATGTGTCAGTTTGGGAGACTGATCTTTAAGGAGTCAATTAGATAAATCAGATATATAAATTTAAGGGAACATTTTAGGTTTATTTCCTTATTTAAATTCAGAAAGAGGGAAAAGTATGTACTGTGTTTGCAAACAGCAGCCTCTCCAGTTGATGATGTTACAAACTATGGAAGTTACTCAGTCTTTTGTCTGGTTTAGGCTTCTGTTGGATGTTTTTCCTAAACATGAAATTTTAACTGTGTAACTCTTCCTGTGAATGAAATACTGAAATCTAAAGTTCAGTCTTAATAATTTTTTGTTAGTGAAAATCACTTTTGTAATGGATAGTTTATATTTGAATAGAATTTTTTAAAATTCAGTCTGTGATTTAGTGCCACGTTGGTTAGAAGCAACACAGTTGCCTGATATATTTTTTAATTCAAAATGTAGACATGTATTTGCACAGGTTCTTATATCAATCTGTATTCAATCAAGAATTATGATTATAAATCTTTCTTGTTAGAGCCATCATCAACTTTTGTTACTGTGCCTCATCATTTGACAATTTCAGGGCAACCTTCCGCCACAGGTCATGGTAAAGATGTTAGTATCCAATTCCCAGAGGTTTCTTTCTTCTATTCAGGAATGCTTCAATACCAGCACGTTGCTGTCCCGCTTTTGGAACATTGTATAATACCAACACTTTTGAGACTTTCAAATCCTGTGACAAAAAGTCACTTCTGGAAAAAGAAGCAAATGAGGTAAGATGAAAAATAACATCAGCTGTTAGAAAGTGTTTTGAAATAGCAAGTAAAGTGCTTTATAGTCTTTGCCCCAGCTACTGGAGATACTGTCTGTACTTCCTCACGTAGTAGCCTCAGGATTTAACTGGAAGGGATATTTGTTCTGGAAGGAATAGTTTGATGTTTGCTTTTTGCTAATATCCTTACAACAGATTAGAAAGTGGCTAATTATACTTGGAGGACTTAGTTCAGTGTTCTACTAGGCCCCATTTTAAGCTTAACAGTGCTCTTGGAGCAGCCAGTGACTTGAATTCTGTAGGGCACATTTTAAAAACTTGTCTTGACACCCAGAAATCAGCAAGTGCCTGGTTTAAACTGTGGATTACTGCAGTACATGTATGTGATACAGTGATGGGAAAGCTCCAGAACAGACTGAGATAAAGCAAGAAGTGGCTGTCAAAGGAAGGTGCTACTCTGCTTGCACTGTAACTAACTAAATTAACTGTCATGGCCTGGGGAGCAGTGAAAATCAAACTAAGGCAACTTTTTTCTTTTTGAGACACTGCACTTTGACCAGGCCTTGATTCCTTCAAATAGATTGATTGTCTGCCTGCTGACCATGAGTAGCAAAGTTTTCATGCGTATCTTCATTCAAAGCTTTGAATTTTTTGTGTTCCTGTGGCCTAGTACTTCCCTGCCAGTGGTAATCACAATGCAAGATTATCTTTAGGGAAACTGGGAAGGTCCGAATGCTTTGTTCATTCCTCTATTCTTTTTACTTTGTATTTTAAGACAAAGACCAAACAGATCTGCCTCATACAAGTATTATAGCTTCTTGTCTCACTGACATGCAGTGTACTGTCTTCTTGCAAATCTCCTTTTTTTTGTTTTCTTAGTATTTACTATGTAGCTAGTGTCTATAGATCTCATGAATGAAAAAGATGAGAGTACGATAAGAGGCTATATTAATATTGCAATATGTTCTGCATTGAGTTAGTGTTAATTGCTCATATACAAGAGGGACTGTTTCTGATGAGGTCAGTTGTGTTTTGTTTGATGCTTTCTCCATGCTTGATCTGTGAACTAATGTTCCTCTTGTTCCCCATCTTCCCTAGTTTTTTGTGTTAGCGCATGTCTGTGTCTGACTTTTAGAGTCCTTTTAGCGTAGATAATAGCATGGATGAGATTATTTAGGAAAGATCAGTGTGTCACTGGGAATATTAATTAGAATTAAAGAAGAATTAAAGATTTCTGCAGCTGTTCTCATGCTACCTTGGTGTTTTGTTTTTCTGTCCTTTCTCTTCCTTCTTGTCCTCACAATCAATGGCAGATATGGGAATCAATAAAATCTGGAGCTGCTCTTGAAAACCCTATGCTCTTGAACAGGTTCCTGCTGCTCACATTCGCAGTGAGTAACGATGTCTCATACTTAGAGCATTGTAGTGGAAATGATGAAGTAGTTTCTTTTTAGAAGAAATGTTGTGTTAGTATTAGCACCATAACGTTATCAGAATCATACTCAGACATCTTAAAATATCTGAAAACATTTAAAATAATACTTAGTAAATACATGCTTTGTACAGATATAAAATACTACAGGTTGTTCTTGAAAAAATGCTGGTGCCATATCATAGTCTCTTCTACAAATGTGTAAGATTATGTAATGGCCTTATAGATAGTAGTTAAAGTAGAACAACTGTTTCAGGTTTAACAAATTGGAAGTTAAGTAGTGCTTCAGCTAACAAAACCTCTTGTACGCATATCATCTGTTTAAATCTTAAATAAAAATATATATGGAGAAGGAAAGTCCTCTGGTGTTTTTTTATTATTTTATAAAATCATGATACAGTGCCTTGTGAAGTAAAGAGAGCTATGGTTAGTATGTTTAGTATCCTCAGCCATCAGTTATGATTAGTATTCTGAATCATAATCTACTTTATATCTTTATCTAATTTTACAATTATTTTTTTCCTCTAGGATTTAAAAAAGTATAATTTCTATTACTGGTTTTGCTACCCTGCTCTCTGCTTCCCTGATGGAATACATATAATTCAGAAACCAGTGTGTCTTGGTGACAGATTCCCATTAAATCAGGTATTCTGAATACTAAATGCTATGAAGTCTGTAGCAGATTTGTGGGCTGAAAAACTTAATATTCTTGTTAGCATATACTGAATTAATTTGAGAATCTAATTTATTTTAAAATATTAACTTATTTCCATTTTTTTTACTGTGTAAAATCTCACAGTTTAACATCATTTCAGCTTTATTAATTTAGATTTAGATATGTCAGACAGTTCTTAATGAAGCGGTTGTGTTCATTTTCATTTTTGTATACAGCTTATTGAATACATAGCTATGGTTTTGAAACTTCTATTTAAAAAAACCCAACTTTTTAAAGAGTCATCCCCTGGGAGAGCTAAGTTTTAGCCATTACAAAATTGTTAATAAAATGCATGATTGGACAAGAAAAAGAACTAGACAGGGAAGCATTTTTTTAGGAGAAAAGTTAACAAATTTTTGTGGTATCTTTCTGTCCTGCTTGGAGCTGAACAGAACCAGTTCTGTTCCAGTGATTCCACTTTTCAGCTCAGTTTCTTCTAAAAGACTGCACCTTCTGAAATTAACGCTGTGTTTTTGCAGACAGCGTCTGCTTCTATAGGTGATAACACCTGAGGTTTATGGTTCCTACTGGGGATTGGGATGCAGAAAGGCTCTTATACTTGATCCTATAGTAATCAAGGTCGCTGCTAAATCTTGTGTAGCACCTTGCAGGTGTCAGGAAGTAAAAGGGTCATAATGCAAAGAATTAAATTAAGAAGGAGGAGCGGACAGGACAGGTGCCTCAAACCTGACCAACGAAGTATTCCATTTCGTATACGTCGTGTTCAATATAAAGCTGAGGGATTGTGAGGGTTAAACACTCTTCTTCAATGGCCGCCATCTGAGGAGCACTCTGTCTGTCCTTTTGCCTTTGATCCCAATTTCAAGTTCCCAAAATCCAGCTCCTGTGTCCAGCTCCCCCCTGCTGCCAAGCCTGGGGCTTCCCCAGTGCTGCCTTTTCTGCAGTGTCAGTGGGAGGAGTTGGGTGCAATACCAGGTTTGTATATATTTGTGTAATTTTCATTATTTTCATGCTTTCCTTATTCGTACTATTGTTCGTTCATTAACACTGTTTTAGTTTTCTTTTCAAGTTTGTAAGTCTCTGCCTTTTTCCCATTTGAGGAGGGAGAGGGGTTGTTAGAGAGCATCTGTCATTCATTTAGTGGCTGGCCTGGCCCTAACCTTTAACACTTTCATATTACAATGCAAAAGGATGGAAAAAAGCAACTTCCCCACATGTGCCTGTGTGTTTTGACAGAAGTTAATACAAAATCTTTTATGTCTTTTAAATGGCATAATAATAAATGAGAAACACTTTGGGCTTTTTCAGCAAAATATACTTAGTTTCTGTCTTGAAAGAGCCACATTAGTTCTTATTAATAAGTAGTGTAAAAATACCTATTGTGATCCAAAGACAGAGTTTCAGCTAAACATTGAAAATATATATAACAAAATATATATAAAAAAATAAATTGAATGTGACTATTCTCTGGCTAATAATAGAGGGACAGATTTACTTTCTTAGAAAGATACTGTCGCTATCGGAATTAGTTTTTGATCTAATTTCTCCTCCTAGATCAGTTTGTAGTAACGACAGTAATGCCCCTGGTTAAACTTTGATTGACAAATGCTGTTTTAGCAATGGAATTTTTGATCTTGGTTATTGTGGTCCTAATGGGCTTTAAAACATCTGAATACGCTGTATTCTTAAGATCATTTGAGTGAGCTGGCCTTCCGAGATGCTAAAACACTTTCTGTGGTTCTGTGTAAGATTGTTAAAATGATTAGTTACAGTTGTCTTTTTACTTTTAGATTCAAGCACTTCAGAAAGCGTATGATGAACTTTGCCAGAAAGAGAGTGTTACGGCCTTGCCTTATTTTTTAATCAAGTATCATGACAATTCTGTTGAGATATCTCTGCTGAAAAAATGGGAGAATTTCTTCCAAGACCAAGGGGGAAAGGTAACAAGAATTTTATGTGTTTTTATAACCTACAAATGGTTTGAAAAATGTCGGTAATACTGAGCTGGGCACAGTGGCTGACCAATGAATAGACTGGCTGCACAGCTGAAGAATTAACATCATGATTAAAGTTTCCCAGCCACCTTACCTAGGATATTGTAATAGTGTAAAACACTTTTGTGGTTTGCTAAAAATTTGTGCTCATGTATTCTGTGTATTTGTTGATTATGGTAGCAGTAATCAGAGAATACTATATGGGAGTGTTCAACTTTGTTTTCAACTTTCAACATGTGTTTTTCCACATGTATGTGTAATAACATGCGAGCTTTGGATAAAAATTGCTGGAAATATGTATACAAAGAATGTTCAAGGTAAACGCTTTGTAATTTTGGAAGATGAATTCTGCACCCAAAGAGGCTGGGATATTTCTTCTGCTAAATACAGAGGTCATGCATGTCTTCAAAGGACAGTGAGCACTGTCCCTTGACTTAGGGAATAATTATACTGATACGTGAAGCAGATGTTGCAGTAAGAGTTGACTGGCTTGGTTGGCTTCTGTTTATGTACATTGAATTCTGTTTTGCATCACGTTACTCAGCTGCTGAACTTTGCTAGGCCTTTCCGGATGCTTTACTGTCATTATTTTTGGTCAGCTTCAAACTCTTTTTTTTTGTCCTGAGTGTTATTGAAGTGTTAGGAAAGAAAACTCTGATTTATGGTGAAGAATTAATAAGTGCAAAAGAGACTTTTTTTTAAGGAAGTCTTGTCATGCCTTATAATTTAGTTCTGTTTTATAGTACTTGATCTTCAATTTTTTTTTTGCTTCTCAATTTATTTCTCTGAAATGAAGAACGAGGTCTGCAGTTCTTTGTAAAATAACAATGTGAAGGTTGCGATTTTAGATGGTAGTGTAACTAAAATAATGGATCACAGGTAAGGGTGTACTTGTTTAGATAAGAATATTCTCAATATGAGAGAAATCTAATCATCTGGAATATATTTTTTCGTTTACATTAATTGTAGAGGGAAGTGCCAAAATTCTAGACCTGTTGGATAGGATTTATTAGATCAATACTGCTTACAGGGTTTGTTTGTATTTCAGTGAGCCAACTGAGCTTGACCACTGGAAGAAAAATGTTTTTTTTTCTCTTGCTGAGTTAATTTTCTGCCAGTTGAATAAATTGAATTAGCTTGCTTAAGTGGTCTCAGGCCTGCTTGAGTCAGCAGTTGCAAAGCAGCAGCAATGTGTAGGTAAGGGGAGGGCCCCTGTTACTTCTGTCTGTACTAGATTGGCTCATCTGTGTTTCAGACTGGTATCGCTAGTGGTGGCTGAGCATACCTAATGTTAGGCAGTAGTGTCTGTCTAATTCTTGGATGTGTTTTGATTCTGCGTTGACTGTGAAGTAAGCTGCTAGTTTAGATGACTTAATTATGAGCATGGTGTTACATTGGTTGAACATGAGACAGAATATCTGGTTCCTTTATTTAGATCCCATCTTGAAGGTTGGCTTCACAAGTGATTTTTATGATGTTTTTCCTTTGGCCTGACGTCTTACTGGCCTGTCTCCTTTCACTTTTTGATCATCCTAAAATCAACGCAGAATTTTGTTTTGAAAGCAAGGCTTTAGTCGTTGTGCCTCTCCTAGTGGTGTGTTTAAGGGAAGTAATGAATGTGCACATACTGCGTGAAAAGTGAGTGTCTATCAAGAGGCTGAACTGAACACATCTTAGAGCTGTGGCAAACACTTGACTGAAATCCAGTGAGACATGTATTAAACATTTGTAAATACCTCAAATGTGTGCGTAGGTCTTCTCTATCTACAAGTCTTACATTAAAAATGACAGGTAACTTTTACTGTGAATTGAGTATCGGTATGGATAGATGACTTCTCATTTAGGGCAATTTTATTTGCAGGTGACAGTTGGAGTCTATGATCCATGTAATTTATCCCACTATCCAGGATGGCCACTGAGAAATTTCCTGATCCTGGCAGCCCACAAGTGGTATCTATTTTATTCTTTCTCACAAAGATTACGATGGTATCAATTTAAGCATTTTTCCCCCATGACACTTTAATTGTATTACCCACCTGCGATTTAACTTTTAATCTTGATGTGACTTACATTCAGTGATTCTGATTTTGCATTGTATTCTGGTTTTTACTTAAGTCAATCACAAGTTCCTGTTATTCCTAATCCTCACATGCATGCACATACGTGGAAATACATGCTTCAAACCCTGCCAATACCTTCAAGCTGTTTCAAATCTTGTTTAAAGTATTGTATGATACTATATAAATAATTGGTGCCAGGTAATAGTTGACTTAAATTTTGAAAAACAGATACTCTTTGGGTTTTCTTGTAGTGCACCACTTTTTGTTGGGTGTAAGTTGGGAAGACAGGATGTAGTTGTACACTCTGGGCTTTGAAAAAGAAATATCGTTTAAAGTATCAAATAAATTCTGATTGCTGTGATGAATGTAAGTAAGTTTTGACTTCTACATTTTACTCACAGCAGAGAGAAGAAATACTCAGTTAGGTGTCACGTTTTCTGGACTGCTGAACAGAAACATAGAAGGATGTGTAAGTGCCCAGAGCACTTTACACATTCTGGGATTCAGAATTTTTAAACACTAAAGTTCTAATTGTTTGATTTGGGGATTTGAATCATAAGGAGGAAAAGTGATACTGTATCAAGAACTAATTGGATCTTGCTTGTGCTGTGGCAAAGTACATCATGACACCTGATCTGTGCTCTAGTGCCTCCTGTTTTTTATTCCTCTAAATATGCGGTTTGTCCAGCAGCATTGGATAAATGGCAGAGGACAGGCTGACAGGGAAATTTCTTTAGAGCTGTTTCACAACAAACCAGTCATTTTCTCATGCTGAAAACATGTATTTATATATACCTGATGAGAACAAGTGTTCCAGTACTAACAGAAAAAGCCTTATTCAGAATCTGTGAGAGACTAAACCTGTGTGAAATGGGGTCCCTTGCTATTTAAGAAGATAAAGATAGTTAAGATAGAAGTCTCTTTGTATTTAAGAAGTTTCATGTGTGTGTCTGTCTTCTTTTAACTGGCAGGGGCAGCATTCTCCAGTCAATTGAAGTGCTCTGCTTCAGGGACAGGACCATGCAAGGAGTGAGAGACATAACACATAGCATTATCTTCGAAATAAAGCTTCCAGAGAGAGCCCTTGGCCCAGGTAATCCATTAAAAAAAAATTCTCTTTTGTTTTTTTCTCCCTCCTCAATCACTGTGAAGATAGAAAAAATAAACTGCTAGTACTAAAGCATTGCTTATACTAAGTTATTTTAAATGGATTTTAAATTATTTAAATTTCTGTTAAATGTCTATAAAGGCAATAGTTTCTTCTTCAGAAAAGATAGAAGAGTGCATATTCTGCATATTCAGGTTTTTTTCCCCTCCTTAAATTGTGTTTCTAATTCTAAAAATAAGTCCTCCTGGTGTCATAGGAAGTATGAAACCCATGTAATTAGCTGTTAGTCTCTTTTTTTCTGGTTAAATTTCTATGCAGTCCCTCAGCAAGAAGAAATGCTTATGATAGTGAATTTATGTGATGCAAACTGTATATTTGTAAAATGGTAGAAACCTGCTGGAGTGGAATCTTTCTTCAGTCCCATAGTGAAGTAGGCGGTATTTTAAAGCAGTAAACTTGTAAGGTTAGAACATAAGCTCAGACTTAATTTCTGTGTACAAGACAGTACCACAGAATTTCTCTGCTTAACCCAAGAAGTTCTGAATGCTTTACATATTGTTGTGAATTGTTTATTATTATAGAATTAGGATATATAATTCCCTACAGAATTTGCAGATGGGATCTAGGGAGCATGAAGAGATGACTGAACTTGGCAAAATTTACTGATTTCTGAACACAGCAGTCTTTGACAATAAAGAAGCTTGATAAGGACTGATGCCATGTCTGTCCTAGGTTTGAGGCCATCTAAACAGGCAAACGCAGCACATGGAACACATGAAAGTAAAGCACTTTCAATTGATGTAAACAGGCAAAATTTGTGTAGCAATGTATACTAGGTTGTTAAGATACAGACTATTTACTTAGAGGTTTAGAATTTGGTTTGGGTTCTTTTTCAAGCAAGGTTAAATCCAACAAAATTTCTATTTTTTTCTATCCTGTGGTATTAAGGCCTTCATTCTTTCTTTTATTCTTTCATCCTTTTTTTTTGTTTCCTTTTTTTTTTTTTTTTTTTTTTATTATGTCAAACAGATTGTCCAAAAGCTGTTGGATGGGAGAAAAACCAAAAGGGAGGCATGGGTCCAAGGATGGTGAATCTCAGTGAATGCATGGATCCAAAAAGGTTTGTTTATTATCTTTCAAATTTCTGTAGTTTTCTTTATTTGAACTTAAGCCGTAACAAGTTGAAATGTGAAATGCAAGGAATGTCTGTCTCTGTTAGGTGAGAATATACAGTAACACATACACTGTATATTGCTTGGGCAGTCCTCTTGGAGGTAAGGAGAGCAGAGTGCACTGCAGAAAATTAGTGTGTGACAGGGAGGAGCTCATAAAACATGATCCGAGTAATTTTTATTTTTCTGCCCGTAATGTATGGGCAGTAGATTGAGACCAGTGTAGTTACACACCCTGTGGACTCATCGGCTTTCACTGACTGCATGCATGTGCTTGACTTTGGCACACTGTGTGTTGATCTAATGGTTTAGGTTTACATGTTTTGCCTATCAAGCCAAGCCATTTTTGTCTTGAAGTCGTGGCAATTCACAGTGTGTTTGCACATGTTAGAGAACATTCATCTGAGGGCTCTTAATTCCTAAAGTAAATGTAACATGACCTTCTTTACTTGTATGCGTGCTCACTTTGATCAGTTCCCACAGAGATTGTTGGTAATTATCCAACCTTGGCATATTGTGATCTTAAATCCTTGTTGAACTGGATACTGCAAAAGTTATATTTATGATGTATAAGGGAATGAAACTGCCAGGAATCTAAGGAATGTGATGACCTAACTTGATTCGAGTTTTAACACACTGCATTCTGATGAATAGCAAAATCTGACACTAGACTGAGTGTGGATTTCCTGCCTCATTTTCCTTCTTACACTTTCCTTCTTCCAAAAAGAACTGTCCGTCTTATTAGGTGGAAGTACGATCAGGGGAGTTTGTTTTTCTTATTATTTATATGTTGAATTGTTGAATTCTTTCTCTGCTTTAAAAAGATAAAAAGTATTTATTCAGTTGAAAGAAAAGCAATTGCATTGTTGGTGAAATGCAAGAAGTATGTTGGTGAAATGCAAGAAGTATGTTGCTGTTTGTTTCATGGTATAGGTTAGCAGAATCATCAGTGGATCTTAATTTGAAATTGATGTGCTGGCGGTTGGTGCCTACTCTTGATTTGGAAAAAATTGTTTCTGCCAAGTGTCTGTTGTTAGGAGCTGGTACGCTGGGTTGTAGCGTTGCAAGGACCTTGATGGTAAGTCCTGAGTTAATCGTAAAAATAATCTGATTTTTCTTGTAAATTCTATATGATTTTTTAAATTTATTTTTTAGCTGCTGTCATTGCACAGAAGGGAAAAGTTGTATTACTCTGCATTAAAGTACATTTAATACATATTAGTTGATAGTATAAAGTGCAAGGAAAAGGTTCGATCTGTAGCCAATGAAAATAACTTGAAGTTCTACTAGTAGTAGAATAGTAGATAGTAAGAGAACCTTAGTAGAACAGTACTTTTTTTATTTAGTTACATTCAGAAAGATTGAACAAGAAATTCTGGAATGAATTAATGTGCTAATAAGATCAGATTCAGAGTGAAGGACTTGTTATAAGTAACTGTGCTGATATTTACTTTTGAGAGATGTTTACCACATCCTACCGAATTCAGTGGAGTTTTGAGGGATTACTGTTAAATTATATATTTGAACCAAATGAATTTCCTATTCTCTTATTTCAGTGCAAGTGCAGGATTCTTGCTGTGAAGGGCTTCAAAAGCTTTTGTAGCTTGAACTTTCTAGAAAAATGGGACATAACTCCCCTTGAGTTTCTGGCATTACCCAAAAGTATATGGCTAAGCTCATTGTACATATCATTATTTGAATTACTTTCTTGTTTAGGGTTGGGGAGTCAGGAAGATTACGTTTGTGGACAATGCAAAGATCTCCTACTCCAACCCAGTACGACAACCCCTGTATGAGTTTGAAGACTGTCTTAGTGGGGGGAAGCCTAAGGCACTTGCAGCAGCTGACAGGCTACAGAAAATCTTCCCAGGAGTGGTAAGATCAGTATTTAAAATGTATTAACATCTTCCTCAGAAGAGAACCGGTGAATTTGACTATTCCAAGTTCTAGTAATTAAGCATTATTACGAGTGAAGTAAAATACTGCACAGGTGCTATGTTTGTTACTGACAAATCTATAAGCATTTTTCTTCAATTACTCTACACCTGTTAAATTTTATTGAGACAAGAAATATTTGTCATAATGAAATATATTTAAGAACCATCTGAATCGTCTTGTAGCTCATTGGTGAAGTATAATTTTTTTCCTGTCTCATATGTTCTGAGGAGCTTTGAGTAATGGATGCTTTTAATACTGTTTTCCTACTCTGCTCTTAAATGTGAGTTTAGACACATTAGTTGTCTATTATGGTGGCGTAAGGTCTTGAAGGTGTTAATAAATGCGTTGTTGAGATTTCCTATCACATTTTACATCCATCATTTGTGCTGTTACTTAAAGTTATTTGCCTCTAAGGTAGAAAATTAACTAATACTTAACTTCCAGCAAAGGAAAGATACCAGTTGGCCTTTGTCCAAGGTACTCCTCTTCTAGGGAGTCTGGTGGTAATAACTGTCAAAATGAAGTAGTTGAAAGGGAACAAAAGGATTTGTTTCATTCCACGTCTAAGATTATCGTTAGCTGTAGCACAGAGTTTTATAATAAAAAAGAATGGAGGACTTGGAAATAGCAGAATTTACACATTCATGGCCTTTCATTACAAGTAGGTAATGCACAGAGTCATTTGTATAGCTGCTCTGGAATTTAACTTTATTGGCTCTCATATACAATAATTTCCTGAAGTATTCAGGCGTGGAACTCCAGCGTATTAAGCATTTTGTCATCCTTTCTGCTACACTGCGTGGGGGATCACTTTATGTAGGTATTTCCAATAGAACAATTTAATGATGGCAGCCTTCATTTTTCATGTACATACTGCACACTTCTGTTCAGATTTAATATATTAAGTACTGATATCTTTTAAGTGATCTGAGTCGTGATTTAACAAAAAATGCAGGAAGTTAATAGAAATATGAATAGAATTGACAGGGCTTATGGTAGCACCAGCAATTGCAATATTTTGATGTCAGTTTGATTTTTTAATAAAACAACCAACAACAAAACAGCCCACCAAAGTAAAAGCACTGGAGTCTCAAGCACAGCTTTGGCCAGCTGTCAGTGGACATGTTGAAAAGTTCATTATCTTTCTATGATTTTGCATGTGTTGACATACAGTCCCTCTTTTTAAGAAGTACATGATTCTAGTACTTTATGAGATGGTAACTAAATATTATTTTGTTTTGGATAATTTGGAGGCATTTTAAATCTTTTGTTAGTACGAAGGTCCTGGTATTAAAATCTAAGCCTCTTTGTGAGCAGTCAGGCAAAATTCTTTTTCTTACATAGAGACCCCATGAGATTTTGAGATTCTGTGGAATGAATGAGATCTATCTTTGGGGATATACACACATTTATTCCTCCTTAAAATAATAAGCTGTGCCATTGTAAGGTTCCCCTTTAGCTCTTTTTGCCAGTAAAGGTGTTCCTCAGCTACTTTTGCTAGTGACTGTTGACTTTTTTTCAAGAGATATTCACATAAAATCAAAGCTAATGAAGCTTAAGAGTTTAGTATTTTTACAAACCTTACTACCGTATTTTATACCGTATATATTTTACCGTATTTTGGGATCCGGTTAGCTCAGTGGTTTGAGCGCGGTGCTGGCAACAACGACCAACACCGAGGTCGCGGGTTCGATTCCTGCTCGGTCCCCATGGGTTGCCTGGTCTAGTCAAGAGGTGGCGTCCCTGCCCATGACAGGGAGGTTGGACTAGATGATCTATAAGGTCCCTTCCAGCCTAGGCCATTCTATGATTCTATGATTTCCATGCAGCTTGTGTTCAACTTGTGTGTTTACTTCTGCATTTTATTTTTTTGAACTAAAGTCGACCTCCTAAGTCGCCAACAGCATCAGTTATACTTACCTAATAGATGAGCATTTCTATGCAGTACAGGAGCTTGATGAGTTATCCATAAATACATTACTCATATACAGCACAGATTAAGTTTTGTGTTCATGCCACAGCTTTTTGGAGGAAGTAATGACAGTGAAGGTAAAGCCTCCTCCAGTAATTGCTCAGTGTCTCTGCTGGTCAGGCAAAGCTGCCCTCACAGGGCAACAGTGGAGCTGCCCTGTTTACAGCACACTAGGTCACTGTGGACTCTGCGTTTTTTACTCCTTGGAGGTCGGAGGGCCAGGGAGAAAGAAGGAAAAAAAAAAAAAGAGGTCACATACTTTGGCATAGTTATGCAGATATGAACCAAATTCATTTCCACAAACTGCTATATGTGTCTATTTTTTTTCTTGTTTTCTGGAATATTTATACTACTTAGAATGTATAACCCTTCTGGTTTATGAGTTGTACTTGTAATTGGTCTGTACAAAAGCACATTTCACCTTCATTTCATTGCTTTCCACATAATTTTATGTTTGGTTCATTTAGCTTTGAAATTGCTGGTTGCTTACAGCACAGCAACGAGCAAGGAGACATTGTCAAGGCCTGTGCTTTGTAACATACATGAAGCATCCATTATTCTCTTACAGCAGATGTCTGACAGATTGGGTTAACGTATTTCCAAATGAGCGAGTTAATTGTTTGCATTGTATATGCTCTGTGTATATGCTTATTTGCCTCTTTAGCCATTTTCTGCTCAATATGCCTTGTCCAAATATGGAGCTGGAAGAGGCATATGTTTCTGCAATAGGAACAAGCTCTTTCAGCATCTGCATAGTGCAAGCCTCCAGACATCCAAGCAAGCTCACATATGGCTGGTCAAATTACATGAAAATCATTCAAGACTATTGTTCTTCTCGTAAAGAATTTAAAACAAAGGGAAGAATGTGTGATACTTCCATCTGTCTTACTGTAATTGAATCAATATGCAATATCAGAAATACAAACTACATCCCATTAACATTGTGCAAAAAGGCTGCAGAGATAATCCAGGACAACAGTTTTATATAAGTTTAACAGCACGATCGTAATCATATGTAAGATTTGTCTGCTTGCTTTCATAGTGATGTTTGTAATCTCTGGGATTAGGAGCAGTTAGCTTTCTTCTCATGGCCATTTGCCAGAGCTGTTAAGACGTTGTGAGAGAGTCTGGGCTTGTTGGTGCAGGCACTTAGCCACCTGAGCATGGTTGGTCTGCTCTCCTGACCCAAACTAGTGTGTTTGCACTGAGTTGCTCTGTTCTCAATAAATGTAGCAGCTGAGCTTGCTGTTCCCTCAGACACTAGCGTTCTGCTTCAGCACACAGCACTGAAGTACAGAGAGATGTAAAGAATAAAGTTGCCATTCTGCCAGACTGTAACTTAATTTATACTCTACAATTTTGTATTGAACTTTATAATAACTCTGTTCAGTCACAAGGCTATCTTTTTGATATGTTGTTTTCTGTCTGTCTCCATTTAGAGTTCGGAAGGCTATAACATGAGCATCCCTATGCCAGGCCACCCAGTGAATTTTTCTGAAGTAACAATGGCACAGGCTCGGAAGGACGTGGCTAAACTTGAAGAGCTTATTGATTCTCATGATGTTGTTTTCCTCCTAATGGACACAAGAGAGAGTCGATGGCTTCCTGCTGTCATTGCAGCCAGCAAGAGGAAGGTATTGCACCATACCTTGCTAATATCCTCATCGTTGTATTCAAAATACAACTCAAAAGTAAAAAATTAGAAAATGAATTCTGAACTCAAAAAAGTATGCCAAAACATTTTTAGTTAGAAGTTAACTTGGGTTTTTCTTCATTGCCATATTGGAAAACATACTGTTGTGCTGAGCCAATGCATCCCAAATCTGCCTATTACTCTTACTCATGTGGTGTCGAACGCTTCATTTTTTTCTGTAGTTTGAAAGCAATATTCTTATGTTGCAGGCAAAGAAAAATGAAAGGAAAGGGCTGCAGTATGTGAAATTAAGATGGTGAATTGTTATATTTTAAAAAGATAGTATCTGAAGCTTTATAGATTCTACTTTGTATAAGATTAGCGAGACTGTATGCATAAGTACTTATGTAGGTGAAATGTTAAAACTTCTTTTGTGGTCAGTATAGAGACCGGGTCATATGAACCAGATTGATAAATAAAACATAAAATTTTTCCAGGACAGACACAGAAGCCTGTGGGGAGAAGATTTTTTTCCTGTTCTACAAATACTACTTAGGCTTAGACATGAATGATAGCTTTTATTTTTATGTGAGTGTTGTTCTTGAAGACAGTGTGACATCCAAACTTTTTGTGTGGAAGACTCAATGAGTTATATTCAAATAGTTGCTGAACAGTAAACTGAAGAGAAACTATTTGTCGCAGTGGGAAGTGTTTAGCAGTATTATTGATTTCTGATAATCCCAGCTGTGCCATGTTATTTTTAGTTTGAAAATGGAATATCATTTTCGACTTTTACAGGTAGATGTAGTGAAAAGATGCAGACTTTTAATTGTTTGCTGTAGGCCTGGCTATGCTACCACAGATTCAACACCATGGTTCTATTTTAGGACTAAGGAAAGAATAAACTACAACAAGGCTGTAAGTGAATATCTAGAAAAAATTTGAAATACTAGGCATGATGATGTTACTCACAAGCTTACTAGTTAAAGCTTGATGACTTCCCTCAAAGTCACTCTTTTAAATAATTCCTGGCTATAAGAATGAAAAATGACAAACTGCCGTACTAGAATTTCTATCTGCAGTATCTGCATGGGAAGCAGTATAACATCTTCCTTTATATTGAACTTGGCTCTTTGGTATATTTAGATCATTGCGTGTAAGTTTAGTAAAATCTGCTAGTTTAAGTATTGGTTCTATGATGTATATGGTCATAAAATCTCAAACGATTCTATGTCACAAACTGAAGACAAAGGGGAAAATGATGACAGTGTAATTGTGTACCGCAGCTGCTTGTGCTCCCCATGCGACTAAACAGATGCATATGAAGACCATAAGTAATCATTAATTGCTTTACACACTGAGCAGAAGTTTTTTTGGATAACAGACTTGTGTTTCATTACTTTGTCATACAGAAGTATTTGTTGAGTTATATTTCAGACCACAGTAAGCTGAGAAGACTATGTAGACAATTTCAAATGACATGAAAACTTGCTATCGATAGCCACTGTTGTACTTAATGACACTTGGAATATTTTAGCACTTAGGAAATATGAATATACAGAGTATGCAGCAAATCTGCAAATAAATTCTGAGTTGGAACCAAAGAAGTTTTTCTCCAATAACAGTACTAATCATTGTATGAATTTGGGGCCAAATGTGGGTGTCTGGATTTTAATTCTTATGGGTGCCTAGTAGCTTCAGCAACTTTGTTAGTTGATGTGAAACTAGCTGCAGATGTAAACTAGCACAGCACATTTATGGAGTTCCTGCATACGTCTGTGTAACAACTAAAGAGAATCATTCATTTGTATCAGATTTCCCTGAAAAACATAAGAAAAAGTAATGGTTTGTGGATTTCTTGAACAGTCTTTTGGTTTGGTTTTGGTTTTTTCTAAATACTAGGCAACTGGAATTATATCAGAAAATCTGTTGTTTGTACCTAGGGTTTGCTAGTAGGTTGTCCATCTACAGCATGTAGAGTTTTTTGACATTTACAGTGAATAAAACCTTGAGGCCTTATTTTCCCCTCCCCTTCTGGCTTGCCTGAAATCTGTTGTTCTCTCTCTATTGTTCACAGTTGGTCATCAATGCTGCATTGGGATTTGACACATTTGTTGTTATGAGACACGGACTAAAGAAACCAAAACAGCAAGAATCTGGTGATTCATGTTCCAACAATGCCTCTGGTTCTTCTGATCTTTTGGGATCATCACTCTTTTCAAATATCCCCGGCTATAAACTGGGCTGCTACTTCTGCAATGATGTTGTGGCACCAGGGGATGTGAGTAGAACCTTATGCAAATGGAGATTATATATCTCTTCTGCTGTGACTTGAATCTTTTTACTTCCTTGAAGTGGTGTTTCATAAATGAAATTGTTTTAAGTTGATGTACGCAGGATTAAGGAATATCTCATCTTTTATTTGGAATGTCAAAGAAATCAATTACACAGAACTAAAGATGTTTTGTGTAATAGGGCAATTAGTTACTTTTGAATTACTTTTTTCTTTCCTTTAGTATTGTCTGTCTTTGTAGTCCACCAGGGATCGGACATTGGATCAGCAGTGCACGGTTAGTCGACCTGGCTTAGCCATGGTAGCTGGAGCCCTTGCAGTGGAATTAATGGTCTCTGTTTTACAGCATCCAGAAGGGTGAGTCATTTCTGGATTGGGGTTCAAAAGGTGTTCTCTGAGGTGTAAGATTTATTTAACAGAACCTTTTGGGAGAAGGAGGAAAAAGTACACATTAAGTAGGACGACATGGTACAACGTTGCCCGTAAATTAATCTAAGGTATAGCTCATATCTACTATTTCCGTGTGATTTAACACTGTTTGAGAGAAGTGATTCATCAAATCTTAAAATTTTATCTTTGAAATTCGTAGGTTTTATCTTCTGAATTTAAAAGTATGAAAGTGCTGAAAATAAAAAGAAAGTATTTCCGTTAATGATCTTGACATTCCTTTGCTCAAGAGAGTGTTTGAGTGTAACTGTAGCATGAAGGGCTTTCAAGATAAGCCAATTTTTGCCAAATGTTATTTAAAACTAAGTGGGTTTAATACAGAAATTACTCTGAAATTTTGCAACCTGAAACTGAAGTTTGTTTTCTGTCTTTAAAATCTATGTAAGAAGAAAGACGTTGTACATGAGCATGTTGTAAGTCTCTGAGACTGATTCTGAAAAAAGGGGTTTTTTATTCCCATGCTGAATGTTAGTTACCATGAAACAGACTTTCCAGATTGGTTCATTTGCAGATTCTAAACTGTAAACTGTAACAAAGTATCCTGAAGCTTACTGGAAACTTTGACTGTTAAGCTTGTCGTCTTGTTCTAATTTTTCCTTCTTGGATTTTTGGCAGTGGTTATGCAGTGGCCAGCAGCAGTGATGATAGAATGAATGAGCCACCTACTTCTCTTGGGCTTGTTCCTCATCAGGTAAATAATTTTAAGTCCTTTTATTTAAAAGGTGGAGACTGATATAAGGCAAACATCACAGATTTTGCTTCCTTAACAAAGAAATAGGCTAATGTCTAAAAAGGGACAGGAATATTGCAATATGTTGTCATATTTTTTAAGAACGTTTCCTGGTAAACTTTAGAATGTTTATTGTTTCTATTGGAAAAAACAATCATATCCCATTTCATATATTTCCTAGTGATGAGAATGTCCTGTCAGTCCTGTCTGATTTGTTTAATACCCCTGTGTAATTTTATTTGTTTTATTGTTCTGTTTGGCCTAGGCTTTGAGATAAGATCCGTATAAAATATGGATTTTAATCAGAAAACTTTTCACTGATTTATGACTTCTGTCACCCTATGTCTGTTTTAACATGTACATTTAGTGACTACCATGGATGTCTCCTCTTACAGGCATTCTAACAGAAATATAACTTTAGTAGGTATAAAATAAAAGTAAACTTTTTTTTAATATTACATCTAATCCTTTTATAAACTGCTGGTTTCTCTTAGCAGTCAGCCATTCATTCACCTCAGCAAGTGCAATGTTTTCTCCAGGGCTCTGAAGTTAACTGCTACTTTGTGATGTGGTTTTTGGTGGTGTTCTTTGTTCATTTGGTTAGCCTGCTTGTGTGGAATAAGAAGAATAGTAATTAATTAATGCAGCAGTCTAAATTGCTATTGGCTGCTGAGATTTGAACCATTTCAGCTGCATTAAATGTGTGGAATCATGTTGGAAGTATTTTCCGTAATAGACCTCAGTGTGAGCTGAGGAATTATTGTTTGTATTGCAGAGCTCCTTAAGTTCTGTTCTCAGTGATGTCTCTTCATCGTAGTGGACCTGTAAAAACATGGAATAAAAAAAGATGATCAATACTCCAAAGAGTTCATAGTCTAAATGATCAAACCCTGCAGCAAAGTGTTTACAGTGCTATCCGTGTTACCAGAAACAATGGCCTATAATTTTAAAATCACCTGTCAGTAGTATCATATTAAGAACATAGTTTAGAAATGCATGTCAGTTAAATTTTCAGATTATATCTAGAGTTGGGGGGAAAAAAAGTATATTTGGTTATAGCATGACTTATTTCTGATTGAACTTTGCAGTCGGAAAAGTCAAACTCCAGGTGGTGCTGTGCCTCTATTTATGCTTAAATAGTGATGCATTTAGATAGTTGTGATATTATTTATGTATAGTAAAACAGTAATATATACTGAGTATAAATCTACTATAGGTGTAATCGAGGGTCGCTGTGTTAGAACAGTACTACTCTAGCTATAGCCATTCTTTATCTTTTTATTATGTGAATGTGTCCTGTTCATGTGGAATTTAGGAAACGTTTTTTGTAATTGTAAAATAGTGTTGTAATTTCTTTTCATCTTCCAGATCCGTGGATTTTTATCAAGATTTGATAATGTTCTTCCAGTCAGCCTGGCATTTGATAAGTGCACAGCCTGTTCAACCAAAGTAAGTCCCAGTTTGTCTGTACTTTATTTATATGTATAGAATGGTCTTGCTCTAGACCAGTCGGGAGGGGAGAGGAGGGGGATTGCGGCAAGGACTGCTTCATATTTGACATTGTCTCTTACTTCTCACTTCTGTGTTCTCATGTCCCCTAAAGTTCTTCTGCTCCCATAATCTTCTTCTTTAGCTGTTTTCCAGATTTCTTTGGCATCACCTGTTAGCATGCTAGCTCCACATAAACATTGTAGTTAGCTAAAGAAACCAACAAGATACTGGGGCCAACACATTTCTTAAAAGTGTATCACACAGATGCTGTCAATATCTTTTAGCTTCACAGGAAGGACTAAAGTTAATATTGTTTTCAGTTGTTTAAGAAATTGCTTTTGATGTCTGATGACTAAATATGTCTTTTCAGCTTTTTTGAACTTAGTATTGTTACAAATACACAGTTGTCTACATTTCTGTTTTCTGATACAAAAGAAGCATATAAAGAAAGAACACTTAAGGAAAAAAAAATTCCTTCCATAACATTTCTTTATCGAAAGGCCTGTTGCATTTTGATGCTAGCGTTGACAGTCCTGAGTCACCTCATAGATTTACAGCTGTGCTTGGATCTGAGCTGTGTCTTGCCAGAACGCTGGGGCAGCCCACTAATGTGTCTGTGTGAGGCCTCCTCAGCAGTCTTGGGTTGTTTTCCTGTACTATGGCCTCAAAAAGTTTTTTCTGGCAAGTTTTCTATGGCCATGTAGCGCAAGTTTAAGAAGCTTTGACTGCGATATCTCGATGTGAAGATTCAAAGGTTTTGACTCATGATTTGAATTGCTTAGGAGCGCCCTTAAATCAGTTCACTTTTATGTACCTTGAGATTTACCACAAGAAGTTCTTTAGGATCTTGTCAATGCACTTGCCTTTCTTTCAAACAGCTACCAAAACTTCTTGAAGTGCTCATTTTTTTTAAAAACTTACAATTTCTTCTACAGTATTCCTTTTATTTCTCTAATCTATCTGTGTACATTTGACAAGTTTTGAGGGACTATTAATGTCCATTTTCTCCTCAAAAGTTGAAGTGCTGGACTTAAACTGCTGCTGGTTTTAGAAGTGTCTATCAACCCTCTTGAATAGCTTAAAGCTCAGCAGTAGCTAAAACTTTATGATGGTGGAGCCTGAGAAGTTAAACTGTTAGAATAAGCCTTTCTCTTTTACTTTTTTGTGCCCCCCTCTATAATTTTTTTTTTATCTCCAATCCAGGACATATTTATATATCAAAACTTTAAAAAAACATCAGTGTAGATAAATTAAATGCAGGTATCAATTTTTTGTTAGCAAATCATTTCCTCTTGGAGGTCATTTTAAGAGAGCCCTGTTTTACATAAACAGACTTGATGATTTAATAAAAACTGAGTTGGATTTTAGCAGCTGTGCTATTCCCAGAGAGATCACTTTTCATGTGGTTTGGGTATTAAATTACTTCTGTGCTGAAAAGGTTGCTTCACTGGCACACGTATTTCCTTACAGTAGAAACATAGCATTTGTTTACTTTGCTAACTTTCTATTTATTAGCATAAGAGTATGTCACCCTGTATTATCTGGAAATCTGATGCTAATACTTTGAAATGACAAGTCCAATTATCATTTAATTGTGGTCTGTATATTGGGCTTGGGTGGGTTTTTTTTAATGCAACGATTTAGCATAATTTCATCCTGATCTGTCTCAGATTTACTGTAGATTCAAACTTTTAGCACAGGAGACAAGTGGCTTTTCAGATGTAATTGAAATTGCTGGTATGGTACCGTATTAATTTTCTTCTTTCTTATGTCAGTATTCTCTTTCTTGCGCTCTTGTCGCTCCATAACTCTTACAAAGCTAATGAATTAGGAATTTAAAAAAAATTCCAGTCCATTGTTAAGCCATCCAGTACAGCTGGATAATTTAGGAGAAGCTGCTAATAATCTGCGTGTTTAGAGATTAGATTCCATTTCATTTTGACTCACAATCATGACTTCATTTCTCTGTTTTTGAAGCTGAAGAGACCAGACATCCAAGCAGCCAGCTATTCCTTACCCAGAATTGTCTCGAACAGGCTGTGTGCCAGAGAAGCTTCCCGCAGGCAATTGTTCAGGAATTTTGGGATGGTCGCAGCAGGAAACCAATCTATTTTTATTCTGGGCCAAATTTTCTTCGTATGATTTCCCCCTCTGTCTTTATTCTAGTTCTGCATAAGCAGTGCTGGAATGGAAAGTATCCTCTCTCGGAGCTAACGGCACTGCGCTGCTGGTTAAGAAGTAGGTCCAAGGAGCAGTGTAAGCTCTTCTGATGCACTTTCTCTTCCATGTCAAACTTCCTCTGTTACTGAGAAGGAAGAGTCCAAAGCTCTTTAGTATAGATATTGATCTGTAATAACTACTGTTCGTACAGAACGAGTATATTAAACTTAGTGTGCTGTTTAAGCTGTCTCTGTACCCTGTTGGGAGCAATAATATTATGGTGAAAAGCATTACAATCCTATAGAAAACTAGAGTTGTCTTGATTCTATACTCCCTGATCCTTGCAGGCAACTGGCTAAAGCCTTGAAACATGACTGTTAAAATATATTTATTATTGCAAAAATGCTAGTGCTTATATTTTAATAAGCGTAATGCAGATTTTTCTGTTACCGCTCCTCCCACCTCCTTGTGCATCAAGGAATGAACCGGGAGACCTCATAGATAAATGTCAGAAAAGTATTGGTTTTAACCAGTGGTTGATGTTAACCAATTGGTTTAACGAACTGGTTGGTATTAACCAACTTGGATATACAGATGCCCTCTCTCTTTTTACATATAGCTCACAGATCCTTTTTTCTCCAGAGTTCGGGCTTAGCATCCGTACATTAGAAAGCTAGCTTTCAAATTCTTTTCTCAAATTCCTATTCAATATGCTGAAAAAATGAGCTGCTTAAGTCATATTCTTTTTAACACTGAGTAATTTTATTGACCTACCTCTACAGTTACCAGTTTCCTTGTATTTCATGAAGGAGTAGACACTAGGATCAGGGTCGTTATTCTAGGCACTACCTTACAATTTCAGTTTTAAGTCAAGATTTCTCTACCCTTGCAGATGTTTTCCCTTTTTAACATACCAGGAATACATTAAACACTTTTGCTGTGACATGTACTAAGTGCTTGTGTTGCATAAGTTATTTATGAGTGCTTCAGTTTTGAAATCCATCATCATGTAGACATAACAATGCTTTTATTGTTCTCATCTGCTGACTGCTTTGCATTCATTTTAAATGGTTCCAATCAGTTATGACAGTAACCTGCACTATTCAGTAATTTACTGATTTTTTCAGTAGAGATAATTTTAATTCTGATTCCAGCAAGACTCCTTGCTCTAGCTGCATTGAGAAGACATTTGTACATGTTTTCTCTAACAGCATATTGTGCAATCATCAGTGAAACTCTTTTTAATCTTTTCATATTACGCATTTCTCAGTTGAAGTATTCTGTTGATGTTAAATGTACAAGGCGCAGGGGAAATAAGCTTTTGTCTTTTCTGTACTAAAAAAAACCCAACCCTAACTCTTGCATAGCTTGCAGAAATTATGGAGGAAATGGGGAAAAATGTTTGTCCTTTGGGAATTAATGCTGCAAAAATTTAAAAGAATGTTTAAAAAGAGATATTTCGGTAGCTGTGCTGTAACGTTAAGTCTGTTTAACTGAGCACATTTATAACTTCCTTTATTTCCTGAATTTACATATGGTAACATTTGACACTTCTATGTACAGTGCAGCCTCTGTATTAATATTGGATAGATTTCATTCAAACTTAAGGAATGCATCATTAACATACCTTGGCATATTTTCAGCATACTGAGTTACAAGCAATACTTAAGGTGGCATAGAAATTTTCTGTATGATAACTGATTCAGAGAAATTTACCACTTTTTTGTCCCTCATTGAAAAAAATGCCATTTTAACGGAGGACAGCCAGAGGCAGGATTATCTTGTTCGTAACTATTGAAATCTCCATCAGGTTTTACCTCTCTGGTTATAAATATTAAATTTAGTGAGAGAGCTGGAATAATATATGTTTCCCAAATTAGTCATGCAGAGGATGGTTTTACTGCTGGTTGCCGGGAGGATGCACATTCTTGAAAATAATGCCTCATCTTACTATTTCAGAAATACTGCATTTTTATTATAAAGTCAGCAAAATATAACGTAGATTATCCTAAGAGAAAGGATACTAAGAAACTAAGGATACTAAGAATGCCTCATCGCACACTAAGAAATAATGATCATCGTGGTAATGTGACCATTATGATGGAATTTTGTTCCCTTGTGATCAAAAATCCTAGAAATCTTCAAAGTAACAGTAACTTCAAGCATTACCGTATTTTGTGAACAGAGCAGAAGGCGTGAAATTAGTGGCATATTCACTTTTGTGTACTGGAGAAGCTGGGGACGTGTCTACATTGAAAAATGGAATTTAAAAAACCTCACTGAAATCTAGTAAGGCGGGAGAGAGCTGCTTACCTCTGTCCTTTATCTGAGAAAAAAACCCCACAACATGATGTTGACGGGGTAGGTGTAGTTCAGTGGAGAAGCGATGTCTCGTTACTCCTTGCCCAGCTCATCCCAGTGACTGGGAACGCGAGAGCTAATCTCATGTGCGGGTGATAGAGCCCAGTAAACTCCCGTGCATGTAACAGCTCCACGATAAAGACGCAAACAGAAGGAATATGGGGAACGCTAGAACGGTACTGAGGAGAACTCAGAAGAAAATTCAATCCGATCACAAGGATAGTTAAAAATTTCAGCCAGTACTGCTGCTGGCAGTATTTACTTGTCCTCCCCACCCCAGGCATGATGGTGCTAGAAATCTGTAATGAACAATTACTCTTAGCCGTTCTGTTGTTTTCATTTCAACTTTTAACATATGAAATTGCCTCTTAATTGATTTATTGTTTTGTTATGTTTTCTTCAGCTGAGATAAATCTAACAAATATAAGAGAATTTAG